GCGCACTTTTTTCCTTAGAAAAAAAAAGAAAATTAGATTTTGAAATGGTTTCAAATTAAGTTTTTTTAACCAAAACTAAGTAGAAATTAGAATTTGAGAAGATTTCATTTTGAAACATAATAGCAATATATTATGTCATAAGTTGAACGTAGTGAGGCAAATAATTCATCTGAGCTACATAAACTCACTTTTACTCTAAGTAACATATACTATTTTACCCSCAAACGTATTTAGTAAGAAAGTAAAGAGCAACACTATAATTGGCAAGTAAATGAACAAAATAATCAGGACACTTTGCAAGTAATGAAATGTAAACAAACATCACCGGTCAGTATCAGAATTTGTGTTGAGATTTTTAAAAGTGTTTAATGATCTAACTAGTGCAGTTAGTAGGGCAAAATGCCGAATGGTGATGATCTGCAATAAATTGCTGAAGCAGCGAAAGAGATAACAAGAAACAGCATTGGTAAATGTCAATAATGTCATGGTAAAAGTAAAAAAATAAATAAATAAAAAGTAAAGTAAATTAAAAAATAAATAAATAAATAGAATAGATGTTTAAAAAATTACGAAAATAGGGAAGTCAAAGAAATGTGAAAAGTGTATAAAGTATGTAGTAATTTTTAAAAAATAGGAATAACCACAGGGTGTTAAAAAAGATTGTAAAATAGTTAAAGAGGTAATAGTATGAATCAAGATCCTAATAAACATGGGTCCGCAAAGTAACGGTTTCGGAGATATGAAATGTCAAAATTTTTAAAATTTTCACTAGAAGCTTCTCTTTTTTGTTCAAAGAGATGTGTTTCAAAAAACGAATAATTTTATTTTGCTAACCTATGTTTATTAAGACTTTTTTGTTGGTTATTTTTTGTTTTATTTGATGTTTTCATTTTTTTAAGAAAATAAGGGTTCAAGGACAAGTTTTGTCAAATAATAAAATATATTTTGATTTTGGTTTGTGTTTCTAGGCGAATTTGAGTTTTATTCGATTTCTACCTTGTATTTAAAAACTTTGAAAAATTTTCCTGATATGAATTCAGATTTTTTGATTATTTTATGTTTTTGGCTACTTCAGTTTCTAAATCAGAATTTTTTTTTAATAAATCGAAAAAGTTAAAATCCGGATTTTTTAAGTACAATTTTTCTAAATCGATTTTTGTTAAAAAAGACTATAATTTGTAAGTAATATGAAAATATTAAGAATTTCAAAATGTAATTTTAAGTACATTTAGAATTTGTATTTAATTGTGATAATTTTTTTTAATTTGAGGGAAATCCAGACACTCGTATTCTATAAATTTTATTATTTTTATAAATTTTGCTTGAATTTCTTTCTAGATCAGTAATAATATTGCAAAACAATGAATAAATGAAAATACAGTTTAAAAAAATTGAAATTTGCTGTTAATCTAAATTAATAAAAAACTAAATCTAAACCAAACAGCAACTTTATTTTTTTTTAATTTTCTTAAAAAGTTTAATTCTTTAGAATTGAAAACGGATTTTCCTTAATTCACATTCCGTATTTGCAACTAAACATAAGAATTGTTTTGCAAATCCGATTTTTTTAATCTCAAATCTTAAATATTGTTGGAAAGACTTTTTGAGACTTTTTTGCTTAAAAAAAATTAGAAATTCATATGTTGAAGATTCAGATTAATAGTTTTTTTTTAACCAAAACTAAATAGAAAATTAAAAATTGAAAAGATTTAATTTTTGTCTATTCGTCTATTCGTTTATTCCTTGTATTTCTAATTTTTGGTAAATTACACAGAAATTAAACTTTTTATACCTAATTAAGATCTTTTTGAAACATTTTTGCCAATGCAAATAAACTAATTTTTTGTTCTCGACTTGACGTTTTTGACATTTTTATCAACTCCTGACAAACCTGAAAATTGTCAAAAGTTTCACATTTTGTCAAAATGTTCCTAACCTTGGTTAGAGTGAGCAAAACTGTTCTAATCACCGGCGCAAATGAAGGCAAGTCTTGTCTTTACTT